TCTTATAATCCTTTCCAACACTTTACCCACAACCGAAGTAAGGCTCAGTGGTCTATAATTAGCAGGGTTGTCTCTACTCCCCTTCTTGAACAAGGGGATAACATTTGCTAGTCTCCAGTCTTCTGGCACTATTCCTGTAGACAATGACGACATAAAGATCAAAGCCAAAGGCTCTGCAACCTCCTCTCTAGCTTCCCAGAGAATCCTAGGATAAATCCCATCTGGCCCAGGGGACTTATCTATTTTCACACCTTCCAGAATTGCTAACACCTCCTCCTTATGAACCTCAATCCCGTCTAGTCTAATAGCCTGTATCTCAGTATTCTCCTCGACAACATGGCCTTTCTCCTGTGTGAATACTGATGAAAAATATTCATTTAGCGCCTCTCCTATCTCTTCGGACTCCCCTTTCCTTTCCAATTTGATTAATCCAATCAAAATGAAGATAAACCCGCCTATATTTATTGCACTGTTCTTTTCACATTCTCCTATTATTTGTTGATTTATCACCTTTCCCACGGACTGGCTCCTGTTTGGGGGACTGTACATTACTCCTCCCAATGTTTTCTTTCCCTTGCTGTTTCTTTACCTTCACTGAAATGGACTCAATTACATCCGAGCCTAGATCATCTCTCACAACTGTCCTCATTTTATTTCTTCCTAAGAGTGCTACCAAACCGTCATTTCCGACCCACCTGTCTCTCTGGAAGGTCAAATATTCCTGAATGTTAACTTCCCAATTTTGATCTCCTTGCAACTGTAATGGCTACAAGATCATATTCATTTACTCTGATTTCCACCAGTTTGTCTACCTTATTCCAAATGCTTCATGCATTAAGATACAAGGCCTTTAAGTTTGTTCTATTATCGAGTTTCCCGACAACTTTTATAGTCCCTTGGTACAATATGACATTTACACATTCTGACCCTTCCTTTTATTTTCTGCCAACAATCAACCCCATCACTAACCTACAATCCTAGCTTCTCTTTTACCTTTGATTTTATAACTTTCCATGCAACCCCACTGTTTAGTTTAAAGTCACCTCTATAGCTCTAGTTACGTAATTCACCGGGACTCCAATCACAGCATGATTCGGGTAGAGCCTGTCCCATCAGTACAGCTCCCTCCTTCCCAATGCCAACGTCCCATGAATTCAAACCCATTTCTCCCATACCAATTTCTGAGACATGTTTACCTCTTTAATCTTGTTGACCTTATGCCAATTAGTTTGTGGCTTTAGTAATCCAAGGATTATTACCTTTTTGGTTCTGCTTCCTAATTTACTCCCTTGCTGCTCATATTCCCTCAGCAAAACCTCTTTCCCCTTTCTACCGATATCGTTGGTACCTACACGGACCACGACAACTGGATCTTTCCCTTCCCACTCCCAGTTTCTTTGCAGCCCAGATGAGAGATCCTGAACCAGGGCGCCAGGCAGGTAACACAGCCTTCGGGACTCTCGATCCTGCCCATAGAGAACAGTGTCTATTCCCATGACTATACTAGCCCTAATTACAACCACATTTCTCTCTTCTCCCCCATCTTGAATGGTTCCCTCTACCATGGTGCTATGGTCAGTTTGCTCATCCTCCCTACAGCCCCCACGCTCATCCACACAGGGAGCAACAGTCTCAAACCTGTTTGACAAACTCAAGGGCTGAGGCTCCATCAGCACTACCTCCTGGACCCCTCTACGTGCCTTACCCATTGTCACATTTTCCTGTCCCTGACCACCAACCGAATTTGAGATAGTTAATCTAAGGGTGTGACTGCCTCCTGAAACAGCGTGCGGGTAACTCTCCCTCTCTCTGAAGTGTCGCAGTATTCAAAGCTCAGACTCCAGCTTATCAACTCTGAAGTCACAGTTCCTCAAGCAACCTCAAGCTGATTCCAGTCTCTTCTTGCTCTGAAGCTTTTGATACTTCGACCAAGAGTATTCCCTTTCAGGGGGAGTGCAGATAGGGTATCTTCATGGACGAGGGTGGAACATGTCTATTAGAAAGAGGGCGGGGTGTGTGGTCGCCTTCAATCTCTCAGAACCCATGCACAAACGCTTAACTGTGCTGGTGAGGCTAGAATCAGGAGTTAGATCATCCAGCTCAAATCTCCCAATATAAGGCCTTCATGTTATTGAACTGGGGACCCTGAGCCCAGCCAGAGCAAACCAGATCACTGGTGGATCTGGAATGAGCATCCTCAACATTAACCAAGAGCCAAAGCTGGAAGCAGGCAGTTTTAAGGTTCAGTTCTGGCGCTGCCTCAACCACTGGCCGCATCTCCAGGTAATCTGATCCACTTGTGCCTCTAACACAGTGTGAGGTACTGACTGCGCAGGGAACCTGCTAGTTTTCTGGCATTTTACTGAGCAGTTTGGCAAACTGAGGAAAGAAGCCACAGGATTGAGGGATACCACCACGGTAACTAAAATTAAATGGCAGCCAAGAGGTCAAAAGGAATTTTAACAGGACGAAAGAATTCAAACTGTTTTAGTATGGCCTGAGGCTAAGAGGCATTCACACTGATAACGCCTATCAAACAGTGATTTTCTATATTTCTGGCTGAAGAATATAAGAAGCTCAGCGATGCCTGTCCTGCAGCCTATTGTTAGTGCACATGCTTACTTGTCAATGCAGATCTTCTCCACTTGTGGGACCAGAACCTGTAACAGGCGCATGATTGTTTGGAGGGGCAGTTTTGATTTCCATGATATCACCTGCAGGTCAAATGTCACACACAGTGAGCGCTGGGTTAGTACCATGCAAGGGCAGACATGCACAGACAATTAAAGAACACAGCAAATTCTGAAGGGTTAAAACCCCAGACATGGGACTGTTTGACAAAACATCAGCAACAAGGTCAAAGCAGACTGAGACTGGTTAGAAATTAACAGCTAGTGACTCAGCATTTCACAGGGCACACAGACAGATCTTTGCTTCAACCCAGCCGGGATTGGACAGTATTCATTCAGCTGGGGATGTGTAGGCCACTGTGTACAAAACACAACTAGTTCAATCAAACTTCAGTCTCATTTACACTGAAATTCTCCTGGTTCTTCCCCAGTTACCTGCCTCAGACTCAAAACTAGACAAAATCTGGGCCAATGGGAACTCAAATGAGGATATTTAGGAGCCCAGCTGTGCAAAATGTGGTGAATTGCATTTGCTTCAGTAAATAAAAGATGAGCAACAGATGTCGTCATCATATTCTCATTTACACAGCCTATGCACATTAATATTTTCCCAACAAATACACAAGACTAAAATCCAAAAGGTCCGGGTGCTGTTCATCATTGAGGCTGCTTTAGGACCTAGATCATGATTTGTGGCAGATGTTTAAGATCCACATGAAAAGTTCTTTTACCTGGAGAGAGAAATTGTGTATGGGTGTCTGTGTGTGCGAGCGTACGACTGAGTTACACAGAATGAGATTGAATGAGCGAGAGAGTGGGAGAGACTGAAAGTGTGCGAGTGAGACGGTGTGAGGGAATGAGAGCAAATGCCAGAGTGAGTGAGGGTGCAAAACAGCATGAGAGTGGGTGAGCTTGAGAAAACAACAGTGAGTACAAGGGAGAGTGGGAGTGTGAGAAAGTAGGAGAGTAAGAGAGTGAGCAAGAGTGAGTGAGTGCAAGAGAAAGTAAGAGAATGGGAGTGAACGATTGCGAGAGCAAGACGGCAAGAGAGAGAGAGTGGAGGGCAGTGAGAGAGCATGATAGTGAGTGAGAGAATGGGAGAGTGAGTGAGAGAGAGTGAGAGTGAGAGAGAGAGAGAGTGAATAAGTTTGCATTTGTATAGCATTGCTATAATTTCATCTGCGACTTGTGGGGAGATTTCTGTCAGAAATCAGGTTGGAAGATCAGTCTTCACTCTGGTACCCTGTCTCACACATCAATCAGTGGGGAGATTGAGGCTGTTTTGTGATGCAGACTTGGGCTCGCAAAGGTGGGGGCCCTGATTTCCCTCAGCTCATTTTACACAGATCTGAAGAAACCACAGGGGCTACCCCACTCTCTCCGCCGCACTCAAACAAGATCTCAGAAGTGAAGCCCTGTCAAAGCTGTTGTGACATCCCAATGTTGAATATCAGAACTAACCAACTAACTCCAGTCCAGACCGTTGCTGTGTTTCTAACACTGCAGGAACATTGTTGCTCTGTAGAATTAGTAAAGTCACCAGGCAGTGAGTGAGAAAGTGAAATAGGAGAGGCCACATGGTGACCAATGGGGTAGACAGCACAACCCTCCCAGTACGCTATGGAATTAAATCTCCAACAGTTAATTAGCCTGAAACATTAACTCAGTTCTTCTCTCCACAGACACTGCAAGATCTGAGAGACTTTTCAGCACTTTGTTTTCATTTCAGATTCGGTAATTTTCCTGTGGAATCAAGAACCATTTCATCACAAGCTGTGGAACATATAATCAGGAAAGGCCAGTGCAGCAGTGGCATGCAGGTGAGTCAACGGGCAATTAAATAGATTTCTCGACAAGGAAGGTTTGTAGTGTGTGATGAGAAGATACGGTGGAAAGGATTTGAGGAATACAGTGAGAAAGTGGGGGCATGGAAGAGTGGTGAGGTAGGTAGGTGGGGGCAAGGGGCATGGTGAGGTGGGTAACTGAGGTTGAGGTGGGTAGGTTAGGGTTAGGATATTGAAATGTGGACGATGGAAGGCAAGGGGTATGGAGAGGTGGGCAATGGAGGGCGAGGGGTATGAAGAGGTGGGCAATGGAGGGTGAGCTGGGTACTGGAGGGTGGGTAATGGAGGGTGAGGTGGGTACTGGAGGGTGAAGTGGGTAGCTGAGGGTAAGAGATATGAGGAAGAGGGCGAGGGATATGGAAAGGTGGGTGGGTGAGGGAGAGGAATTTGTGGAACTGGGTGGGTAAGGGATATGGGGAGGTGTTAGAAGGGCATGAGGGATATTAGGAGTTTGTGAGGTCAGGATGGGGTTGAACACGGTATACAAAACAGGTCTCTTAAATCAAGTGTGTTTGCCTTCTCTGGAAACTCTGATTTACCAAACGATGATCCAGAACTCCCTGTTAGAGTCATATAGTTCCAACAAATACAGCAATCAAGCTCAGTGACTCATAAAGCAAGTAAATTATTAATAAACAGTATTCTGTTAGGAAAGTATCATTCACTGGCTGCCAGCCCAAAGGGCACCTGGTAAAGAAACTGGCATCATGTCAACTCGAAAGCTAAACAACAGATTAAGGCCAGCCACGTACAGACTTGATCCCTGCCTTCTGGATCCTGATCGCCTGTAGGATCTAATGGTAACACAGGTTGAGAGAAATCCACTGTCCCAGGAGCTGACTCTTGTGCCCAGCCTTCACAGGTGAGGTCAGGCCATGAGTGTACCTGGCAGGATCAGTCATGTTCAGCACTGACACTGGAGGTGGGATCACCGAGTGGATTCAGGAACAGAAGTTTTAAGGTCACCTGGGCATAATTTTAAGGTGATTGGACGAAGGTATAGGGAAGATGTCAGAGGTAGGTTCTTTACACAAAGAGTGGTGGGTGTGTGCAATATACTGCCAGCGTGGTCGTGGAGTCAGATACATTAGGGACATTTAAGCGACTCTTGGATAGGAACATGGATGATAGTAAAATGAAGAGTATGTAGGTTAGTTTTGATCTTAGAGTAGGACAATAGGACAGCACAACATCGTGGGCCAAAGGACCTGTATTGTGCTGTGCTATACTATGTTTTATTTCTGGGCTGTGAGCTTCACTTCCTCACTGGATAAATACCCTCTGTTATTGTGCAGGACAAACTTTGTCCTGCATCCCCTCCCTTCCATCTTTTGCTGTAATTCAGCTCCATTTGTTGTGAGGTCAACAAAAACCACCCACAGAACCCCACCAAGTTCCGTCAGTGGTATCCCCTTGGTCTCAGTTGCACGTGATATAGGACGGAGAAAAGTCACTGGTCCCTCATTGTAAAGATTCACTGAATGGAATCATGCTGTACTGAGCCAAATGGAGCAAAGAGGTCAGAGGTTGAATCACTACCATGTGCTGAGATGGAAGTTTGCAGCAGGGGAAACAATCAGAAACACTTCAGTTGGCCACCACCTGGGCTTCTGAGGGGACTAGGTCAGTTAGGGATCACAACCTGACTGCTGGTTAGTGACTCACTGAAAAAATGGCTGTGGAGAATTTGGAAGAGGACATGATGGCAACTTCTCCAAGATAGTCCTTCATGCCGGGACAGACCACAAGCAGTTCAGTAAGAGCAGAGAGCACACTGGCCACTCACCCAATCGGGGCTCGGTGCCCGCTGGCCGGCCACTCAC